TTTTTTCGGTGATGCTACAATGACCATATGGCACACACAATAAATGGCCCAAAGAATGGAACGGCCTACAGGGGAGAGAGGATACTTGTGACTGAGAGTAACTCGGTGAAGAATTTATTGTGAGGGGAGGGTAGGGTAGCAATCTGCTTTTCACCAGTGTTGTATCCGAGACCTTGATGTCCGAGACCAAGACCAAGGTATATGAGACCAAGACCGAGACCTACTCCTTCAAGACCAGGACTTTGAGACCGAGACTTTTGCAGGTCGAGACTGAGACAGAGACCACAACATCCGAGACCAAGACTGAGACCAACCATAAACCAATGTTTTAGTTTTTACCAAAAGGTAAATAGAGACAAACATATGGCAGTACAATTAAGTACAAAAGAAATGAAATGGAAACATTAGCATAAACACACACAAATAGGTCAAATATTTGTTAAAGAATGTCTCAGTTCTTTTATCAGTGATAGTGCTCTACTTTTACCCTGGTCTGTCCCAAATGATATGATGTGAACATTAAAACAGATATCCTTAGACTGTTTTTTTTTTAAGCAAAATACTGAAAAACAAATATCCAAAAAAGATGCACCATGACGAAACTACGAAAACAACACGTACCACATACAAGACAGAATGAAAGCACTTTCACACGTGCACACAATTCATAGCTTGCACACACACAGAGACAGGTTCCCATCCTGGCTCTACGTTCAGCAGGAGACTACATAGGGAACGGGAACCAGTCTAGTGTGTGAATTCCACTATTCACAACCACATCTCCATGGTGTCAAGCAGCATGACTACTCTGGATTGGAAATAAAGTAATAACTTAGGACAAGGTTGCATCATGCTGCATTGACTAGTCTTCATTCCAGCACCATTTTCATTGTTTATTGCAAAAAATCTGAACATTACTGTGTTGTATTTATATCAGTGGTTGAAGATTTGACTCGAGCGGAGGTAACTTTGCCTTTTGCAACCGCGTGCATGCGTGGTAGCTAGATGCGCATTGTGTTATGGTCTCGACTGGTCTCAAGGGGGAGACCTGAGACAATGGCATCCACGACCAAGACCGGTGCTTTCGAGACCGAGACCGGCCCTCCCAAGACTTTGACAGGGCGAGACCAAGACCGAGACCACAAAAAAAGGTCTCAAGACTGAGACCAGGTCTCAAGACCTACAATACTGCTTTTCAAATGCGCACTTGCCTTGTTTAAATGCTGGAAGTTGGAGTTCCGCTTTCTTGAAAATTGCAGCCCCCCTTCGGTCAAACCATCCTATGCCCCTGTGTGACAATATTTGTCTATAGTAGTTTTTACCTGGCTTGGTGTTAATCGGTTGATTTGTGGAGCTGTTGCCTTATACCAAGAATTAGTTTTGGACTTGGGAAGAATCTACCGGCCTGGGTTGGGGACTGTGTTTACTGTACTGTATAACCAGTGGAGCCACTGCAATGGTGATTAGAGTCATCCAAGTTCGAATTTGTTACTACTTGGAAATGAAACAGGCAAGTTTATTGTATATAGGCAGTCACAGTGATTGCTTAATGTAGCCAGTTATAAGAATTCTCTGCATATATATAAGTAACTGATGATTGTTCTTCCACATGTGACTGACATAACATTGCAGAAAATCTTCTCCTTGGAGATGAAGATGGGAAATTCTATCCAATATGATCTGTAAAGTGTGAACAAAAAGTTTATTGAGTGTTAGAATAAATTTATAAGCAAAATTTAAGCATGTGACACATACTGGAGAATTAAATTTTTGAGATCCAAGAAGAGACTTTTTGTGACCTAATACCAAGGAATTACCTCCACAATGACAGCATCAGTTATCCGGGGCATGAAACAGGACCACAGATATGGCCAAAAGACTCGAGAAGGCCACCATGGCAGTGTTCTACTCTTTTGCAGTAGCCTGGTTGTTTGTAAAAACTTTTGACATCTGACTTTGACAAGATAGGGAGGACTCTAAATTTTATATTATGTTCTCTCCATGTGGAGCTCTGCCTGGCTTCATTTTCAATCAAGAGCTTGGGAGCAGTGTGAGTTTTATTGCATATGGTCACCCTAGACCTGGAAGAACATGTGTGGCAGCATACTGTGTTGGTGAATGTGGAAAAAACGAATATGCATCGTGACTACCCTGCGCAGAAAACAAAATCTCAACCCGGCTACTTACTGCACAGCCAGCAATTGATAATGAAAGGAATTGCTTGTGTACATTTTTTAACAGAAAAGATGGGGAAACAATAGCAGTAATATATTTCTCATTGCTGTGGGGAAACAAAAGTCACTGATCCTTGATTGTTGGCAAAGTTACATGCTTGCTGAGCATGCAAAACATCTTGTTAGCGCTGCCATTAGATGGCCTTAAATAAGACATCAGAAAACTGTTAGCGAGCATATCCCACCAACAACGAGACCACCAGTTTTCCTCAACAGCACACACAATCCAGGCGTAAATTCAATCCCTGTTTTGTGAAGTTTGTTTTAATACAATTGTAACTGACATTTCAGAACGTGATTTGTTGTGTAAACATCTGGATTATGTTATGTTTTAGTTTTTCCACGGTTACAAATGCTTTCATTATTTCATTCTTTTGCCTTAAAATACTTCCATCATACATTAAACAGCCGTTGAGTTGGGACTTTCCCTGAGCACTCCCTGTCAGGAAAATTATATTGACTTACGTAGTGTCCTTAGCTGTGGAGTAGTCCAAGGGACTCCGCAGACTGGATGGAGTGGTAGATTTACAGTAGAGGCTGGCCCGGTGGATGCGGGGGATGTGGCAGCAAGGGTCCCAGTTAATGATACCATGCCTGGTGCAGAGTCTTTGGCGGGAGCGGTGCAGGTGGCCATCATCAGCTTTGTGGTTATACTTGGATAGCAGTCTGCTATTGTAAGTGAGCAGTGTTGTGCGAGGTGAGCTTGCCCTGTGGAATGCCATGGATACACCCGAGCTTGTTGGTAGCCACAGTGCAGTGGGCTTGCCTGGCGTTGTGCTGTGTGTTCGCCTGGACTCGTAGGCGGTAACAGTGTGGTGAGCTTGTCCAATGGAATGCACATATTCACCCAGACTCATGGGCAGTTTAGGTGTGTAGAGCTTGCCGGATGGAATGCCGTGTATTTGCCCTGACTCATAGGCTGTCACGGCATATAAAGTTCACTGGATGGCCTGCTAGTCTTACGGTGGCTGTTGTTTCCTCTTGTTCCCGGTATCAAGTAGCGACACCACACGCTCTGCTAAACTGTGGCATCAATGTGTAAGGGCTTGGCTCAGAGAGTAGTTAGGCCCCGGGTGCTGCCAGTGAGATGAAAGGAATCTCAGCGCAATTACACTTACTGCCAAGACCACTGTTTGAATCGGAACTTGGAAATGACCGGCTTGGAAGTGGTTTGTGGCCAGAGCACTGCCAGTGGAATGGAAGGTATCTGGGGGAAAACACTAAACAACCAGGACCCACCACCCAGACTGGAGCATGTAGATTATGGGGTCACCCAATCTTGCCTCTTGACTGTTGGCAGGGACCCCGCCCACATGTACTTGGCAAGCTGGGGAAGTGTTAGGCTGAACAACTGTCAGCTGCCCAACGCCATGGGCAACTGCAATACTATGATGGAAGCAGATGTAAAAAGAGGGTATTGCTCAGTGATACCCCTCTCCCAACCATTTGGAGAGGGAATATTGATTCCCTAGCTCGTGTGATGACATGGACAGCTCCAAAACAGTGAGGCCCCCTACCCATGCTGTGAGTGCAACTCAAAGGGGGTAGATATCCAAGGTTCATTAACGTTTCACTGTAGAAACAGTGGTCACGTGACGTGAGACAATAGAGAAATGAGACTTATGCACACAAATGACAGTAAAGATAGCACACGATGGAAAAATATGACTTGTAACAAGGAGAGATCTTACCAAAAAGTAGATAGATAAGAGATATAGTTTATTACAGGTGTAGCAATTGATCAAGAAGTCCCACAGAGCACGAATAGCACGAACAAAAGACTCTCAACATTTGAAGTAAAGACAAATGCGTCCATTTGTAATGGTCCTAAGAAAAAGAGAAAGAACATGGCGGCCACGTCACTGCGCATCATGGGATAGAGGATGCACTACAATTGATTGAGATTTTAGTGAATGGAGTGTTGGCCAGGGAAAATATGCACTGATATGGTAGTATGGGTAGGTTGAATATGGTAGACACCACCTTTAGAGCATGTGCTTCAAATGATAGAATAAGTATTGACATTGGCCAAGACGTTAAGCTTTTCTTGTTAATGCCGTTAACCCACCAATATTAAAAAGAAAAACTGCCAACAGTGGTCTGTTGCTTCTGGATAGGCAGCATACATGCTGTGTCTTGTGTGCCTGTTTTGCTGCACAGTGCATAGCAGAAGCACATGCATGAACTTAGGACTGCTGCCAAACTTAATATGTAGTGATGTATCACAGCATGCCGACAATGCTGCATTAGGCCCTCCTGTCCATGTTGACATTACATAGATACCACACCAAGGCATACACAAAATAAAATGTAAATTTTTCTGACATCTATGCCCACCCATTCCAGGTATCTGGGAATTTCTATTCCAGTCACCCCTTGGAAGCAATATAAAGAAATTGTATTACATGCATCCTATCTCCGGATCGCAAATTTGTTTGAGAATAGATAAAAATATGCATTTTTCTTGTTTTAGTTTTTAGTTTCCATTGAATGCAGGAGAAATAATTTAAAGCAGGAAACAAACATGATTTTTTTTTTAACTTAATGCCTTCAGTGCATTAAGCTTACTTCGAAGTCAAGATATAACACTGAAATTTTTGTTTGTGTTAAATTTTCTACAAGGGAAATAATACAAACATTGTGTCACTGTTATTCCATTAATTGAGTTGGATGACATCATACAATTGTGCGTATAGATAATACTGTATTAAAATTACTTGTTCATGTGGTAAGAACTAATCAGAAGTCATGGTTTTTATTGCACAGAGACATGAAGCGAAGAAAGCAGTTTAAGCTGCGAGTAGTAGGAGAAGGCTCAATGGGAGAAATCAAGGTGAGTAATCATTAGAGCAATCCAGGGAGATGCCAATACTCCAGTAGCACCTCATTTTTGTGCTTGAATTTTGGTAATTGGGCAATATTTGGAAATTGGGCAATACCCAATTTCCACTGTAATTTGCAGCTGCGATACACTCTGAGGTCGGGGTGTGAAGCGCAAGGCAATACCCGATCTTCACTGCTGTTTGCTAAGAACTACTGAGGTGTTCTCCACCGAAGAAGTACCGAAGATCACCAGGGCTGATTGACATCCTCACCTGCCATGGCTCAGAAGAGTTTCCAGGGGATGGACTCTCTCCTCTGCTGCTGTCTCCAGCAGTCACCATCATCCTCTTCACCTGAAGAAGACACCTCATTCAAATGTCATGCAGCCCTGCTTAAAGCTTCCAACCCAATTGTACTGGAACTCACACTAGACCGTTCATGCGTCAAGATGTTTTAAGACTTTCACCAAATCCAAACATTGGCAACCAAACCCTCCTAGAGCCCAATCCTACTTTCATTTGCCCAAAGACAATTTTAAGGAATTCGTCTTGGTCCTTGAGCTACAAGACATTAATTGGGCAACACCAGGCCTGACTAGTAGGCAACCATGTGCCTAAAGCCACAGCGGCATACTTGATGTACCAGACAGAAATGATACACATATATACATTAAGTTATAAAATATATGACAATAATTGACTACCAATAACATTGAACTTGAAGACCAAAATATTATCTTCCCACTGATGATACATTCAGTCGGGAAAACATAGCCTCTTGATACTTTAGATCGCTATGGCAAGTTTTATAATAACATAACAAAATAGAAAAACCAATAGATTTAACTGGATTATTATTAACCCCATAACTATGGCTGTCTGTATCCCAAAAATTGCCACCCGCGCAACATGTGCCCACCAGGAGGCAGACAGCCAGGCCCAATCAAGAATGGACCTCCTAATCAGGGAACAATATGGGACAAAATAAACTGCTTCAAAGTGGGAGTGAAGATATGGTTACCCCTTAGGGATAAATGCACTCCATCATACCGAAACAATGCAAAATCCAACCAATGAAACTGTGGGTGATGAAGGCAGAGGGCATGTGGTATTTTGGTACATTGAGACCGTGCCCATCTATAAATTGTGCGGCACTTGCGTTCCATTGCAGGCTATGAGAACGCACCAAAATAGAAAACTCGTGGTAGAATATCTGACCACATAAATCGTCATAGTGGGACACCAGGTGGCACAGTCCCAAAGCATGACCGAAACCCTTTGCCGCAAGGCATATTTATCTAGTCTCATTAGGTCATTAGAACCCAAATGTATAATTAACATTGCCAGGGGCAGAAACACTTAAGCCAGCTCTGCCCTCATATCATACAGATCTGCCACACCCGCCCCGCCTTTTCCATGCCAAAAGATATTTACCTGGATATCAAGACAATCCTCTGCCCTACGAATGATGGAGTCGCCGACGATGCAAATGGGATCTAGAGTAAAATTGGAAGAAATAGAGTATACACGATCAGGGCTAGGCTTGACCATTGTCTATGGAACATTAGACTGATTGAATCGTGGCGGACTCTCGTCGCTATGCAATACTACAAAGCAGCAAGGGGTGTACATAAGATAAGAATGCCTCAGAGCACCAGCGTCCCATGGACTGAATATCAGTACTGGCCACCCCAAAATGCGATGCAGAAGATGCTGCCCCAAAGCGGAAGGAATGGCTTTTAATGTAGGCTCCATTGAGCCCTATAAAAGCAAGAGCCTTTTGCAATACAGTGTTGAACTGGTACTGTGTGAGTGGGCTTCCATCAAAAGGACAGAAGTATGGACCCAAAATCTGTGGGCGAACAGCAGAAAAATGCACTAATGCTGACACAGGGCACAGACTGCAGTCAGTGCTCTCCATTAAACGAATGCTTTGGGGGAGCCACGCTGATTATTCTTAGATTGAAAAAAATTTATGGTCACGGATATGGACTGACCATCTGATGTGGGTTGGGCAAATGTTACATCGTGAAAACACAAAACTGAATCTCAAAGGTGCTGGCGAGAGCCCACTGCAAGTTCACTAACCCGCATAAAGCTGTAAAAGGCACTCAGAAAAACCTGTATGAAACAAAGTTCATTCAAACTGAGTAAACCATATAGCCAGAAGTGAATTAATGATGTCTCTTAGCAATGGCAGAGAAATGGGCAGTCAAGAATCTTTGACAGGGTGAAGCCGGCGGGTGCCTTCCAATAATTTGGATACCACAAAGTCTTTAGTAGGGTCTGTTAATCCACGCAGTTTGTGTACATAGCCAACACTGGATACATACATGGCGACTGTGGAAGAAGATAAGCCCCGTAGAGAGAGCCATGCTATGAATTGGCAGATTTTGCCAATTTAACCGGCATGTGGGCTGTTGCACATGGTCTGTTGCTTAAAGTGACTGAAAGCCCTCCAACCAGTAGCATATGTTTTGTGTGTGTTATCTGAAATTGATGCAGCGAGTAAGCACTCCAATTAATCAGCTACCACAGTTGAGGCAAAGGAGGTGGTGGAGTCATAATTGGATCTGCGTGTGGGGCGGCAAGGCGGAAACGCTCCATCTGAAAATGTGACAAAGCATCCGCAATTGTGTTAGACCGTCCTGGCACATGTGCCACTTTAACAGACACATTAAAATGTAAGCACTGCACCATAAATGGCCTGATGACTAGATACATAATGTGGGCACAGCGTGAAGATTTCTTATTGATGATCTGTACCACTGCCATATTATCAGTATTGAAAATGACTTTTCGTCCCGCCAGTAAAGGGCCCCAACACATCAAAGCAACATACAGAGGCACAAATTCCGAAAGTGCTATTGAAGGGTGTTTGCACAACAAGTTGGTCAGCTAACAGCTTTGAACCCATTTCCCCTGGAAATATACCCGTACCCAGTGCTGGCCGCTGCATCTATGAACAGGGACAGGGTATCGTTAGATCCCCATTCACAAGCTGAAACTGAAATGCCATTAAAATTGGACAGGAAGTCAAGCAAAGTAACTAAATCCAACCTCTAGCACCTGTGAAAATGCGAACCCTGTGGTACGGCTGACAAAGACCAGAACCGAACCCAATTATGTGTCGCAAAAAGGCCCGCCCGGGCAGTATAGCCTTGCACAAAAAATTTAACGACCCGACTAGTGATTGAATGTTCTGCAAGGAAATTTTCTTCTCTGACAATGCTTGTTCAATGAGTGTAGAGGTGGCTAGCACTTTGTCAGCTGGCACACACATGGTCTATGTCAACGTGTTAATTTCTAGGCCGGACCAAAAGTCTTTTCATTCACCCAAGACACTCCCAATGTTGTACAAAAAGATTAAAAGCAGGACAACAACTGTTCACAAGCTGCAGCTGAGGATCCAATAAACAAGAAATCATCCAAGTAATGGGTCTCGAATTGACACTGGCTAAATCGCTTGACCTGATATTCAAGAAGTGAGCTAAATTTCTCAAATAACGAGCAAGATATGCTACATCTCATTGGCAAACATCTGTCATAATAAAACCTGCCTTGAAATGTGAAACCCAGCAGTTCATAATCACTAGGGGATATGGGAAGTAAACAAAATGTGGATTTAATGTCAGCTTTTGCTAACCATGCCCCTGTACCCGCACTCATAGCCAGAGCAACATCATCATCATCAAATGAAGCATAATTTACTGCACATAAATCTTTATCAATGAAGGTATTAATCGACTGACCCTCTGGGAAAGAGAGGTGATGAATTAAGCAAAATGAATTTGGTTCGCGTTTGGGAATTAAACTGATCAGGGAGCACTGCAAATTTGGGAAAGGTTGCTCAGCAAAAGGACCAGCAAGCCTACCAAGAACTATTTCAGCTTCCAATTTCTTATGCACCACCTCTGGGCGAACAGCCGCCAAAAATAAGCATTGTGAATCTCAAGGTAAACGGGGCCCTGTGTAACCCAAGGTGAACCCTTCTGAGAAACCTTTCAACAAAAGGCTGGCATCTTCCTGAATAGGATAGTCAACAAGCAACACACGTAAAAGAGAAACATTAATTGGTGTTGGAAGAACAAAAGGAATGGGCCTGGTTTGCTGGGCTTAGGATTAGAACTCAATGGCATAGGACGCGACAATACCTACGAGCCGGCTTTAGTAGTGGATGCATCATTAGCATGGGGGCTCCGTGCAGAGGACGTACGAGATAAGTTTGCATTGGGACTCGTCGTCCAATGCATTTGGCCCGCTGATCGGCAACGGGTGGCCCCATGGCCAGCCTGCATGCATTTCTGGCAAGTGTGCGCAAATTTGACAGTTAGGGAAATTGTAGGCAAAGCAGTGGCCAGGTCGGATATGTTTTGGGCAATATGTGGATTATTCAAGACACCTCTCGCTGGTGCAACTGTTCAAAATCAATTTTCTTCCAAGAACGCACAGGGTTGGCCTCCTGCCTCAGCTGGAATTGCTCGTCATAAGCTCGCCAGCCAAGCCCCGGCAATTGAATGGATGCAGCGCGAATGAGTTCTGCTTACTTAAGAAGCTCCAAACAACGGGACAGGTGCTTGGAGATGTAAATTGACATGAATACATTAAATGCCGACTGCCACATTTCAAACATTGCTATCTTTCCGGGTGTACTCCCGGCTTTTTAAAGACTACATTGCCCCCTTCTACTGCCAAAGTCAAATTTGTGGCTTGCTGTTCATTGGACTTTGCAATGACAGCTGTAGCAGCATCATTATATAATAGCGAAAAATCGACAAATACCCCTGACAAATTTTGTCGCACACATCACTCAACAACTGCACAGGTTCTGATCAAATACCCCTTCGCTGAGAATGAAACCTTTTACCATGAATCCGTAAAAGGGGTTAAAAAACCATGTCTGCAGTTGCATAACATAATTTTGGTTAATTTTGGATGATGTCACGCTGTATGTTTCACTGTTTCCTTTTGGATGGTTGGACTTTTAAGGTTTTGTGAACGAAATATGAGG